AAGTGTAGTTTTATGAATGCTGTTCATCATTTCGTAGGGATGAGTAAGTAGGTAATGTATGTTTCTTAGTCTCAGCTATCAGAAACCCCAAGTCATCCATCTCCTGGGGGAAGTTAAATCCAAAGCTCAAAATGTCGATACACTAATGGAGCAGGAAGTAAAAGTGTTACTCTAAATAAATAAAAATAATAATAAATTTATACACAAAGCTTAGGGAAAACACATGTAAAATAAAGCTAAAAGATATCAAGTGCTTACGTTGCTGTGTTTCTTAATCAAGCTTTCATGTGGATAGTGCAAAGCATAGTGTTTTTATTCATACAAACTTCCACTTTCTCTAGTAAGGCAGTAGTCCGTGGTTTATTTCTGCTTGTGGAAATCAAGTATTAGCTGTCAAAGGAGAGATTGGGCCATAGAAATGTTATTTTGCATGTTACTTTAATAGTTTTGTATAGACTGTGTACTTGAAGATACAGAGGCTGCAGCCAAACTGTAAAGGAGGTGAAGTCAAGAGCAGGTGCTGGTGTGAAACTAAAAATACAAATGAATGTAGGAGAGTTGAAGCAGTCTGTTATAAATATTGAAAACGAGATGCTTGTGTGTGGCTCTGCAGGTTCTAGTTGTGCAGTCATGCATTTACAGTTAGAGACTGGGAGAAGGTGATCTGTGATTTTTATTTATAGCAGTGCCCAGGAGGGCGGGCAGCCTTCAGTTCGTGATATAAATGTTGAGGAATGTTGGTATATGGTGTGCCCCAGGGGAAAAGAGGGGTGAGAGGGGAAATCTGAGAGAAGCTGGGCCGATGAGGTATGTACCTCCTTAAATTAGTACACTGACACTGGAAAGAGGGATGTAAGACTTCAAAAATAAGTGAGACGTCCTGTTTGGATTAGAACACAATCCTCCGAGAATGATTTTTTTTTTTTTTTTTTTTTTTTTTAAGGAGCTAAGAGTTTTTTGAATTCTTACATATGAGTGTCAATATACACTACAAAATGGGTTTTCAAAAATATTTTAGCTTCTGGTGGATTATGATGAGAATCAAGAGAAAATGGGCCGCAGAGATAGTTTTTCTGAAGTAGCACTGTGTCATTCATCTATGTCTCCTCCCTCCCTCCCGTGCCCCCACCTCCTCGCAGGAGAGGAGACAAAATCAAATGAAGTTGTATGTAATCTGCTGTAGGTTTGATGCCTTTAGTTTTTTCTCTCTAAGGACTCACAATCTTTTTATAATATTTGATTTTAAAAGTGGGCAGAAGAGATTACACTGTGCTGTTCTGCAAATTCTGCTGCAGAACTAAGTGTGTAATAAGAGCTGAAAAACTTACACAGACTTGGAGATTTTTTGTTTATTGTCATCTGAAATAATAATTTAACAATTTTTCCTGGAAAAGAGCAGAACAGATGTGTTTTGAAGAGAGAGTGATGAGTGAGACAGACTGAAATGCAAGATAAGATTGCATTTTTATGAAAAAATAAAAATTATCTATGTAAGACAGCATTCTGAAGACTCTTTTAAGTCGAAGTTCTAGTGAATTGTTAGGCTGGTGGTTTTTCAGCCACATTTCCTACATTGAAGTATTGATGTTGGAGTTCTGCAATTCCTTTTATGAATCTTTAGAAGTAATGTGGTGATTCTGTCTTTGCTGGCTTTTTTGTCAGTCTAGAGTTACCAGGAAGGGTGTCGTAGCAGTGGTTTTGTCATGTGTGCTCAGTTGCTTTAGTAACTGGAAGAAAGGCACAAATTGATTATTTTTTTTTCCTCTGTGTGCTATAAACTGTGGTTCATTAATGAATGCTGGATATAATTGGTTTTAATTTACAGTGGAATCTTGCCAAGGTGTAATATGATGGATGCAGACTTTTAAAACTGGAAAAGAGTTGCATGATTTCATGTTTGATTTCAATTTTGTAATAAAGTTAGAGGGTTTTTAAATCTCTTACTTTTTAAGAGCATCAGTCTGGTAGATGTCAGTAATCCCATGAGGAATTTCAAACTAATGTGAAGAAAACAGCAATTAGACAACTTAAGTTTTTAAATTGATGATAATTTTCATCAGAGGACAAAGGAACTGCAAATAGTATTATTTTGTAAACTAGAAATTAGCGAGTAGTACTTTGAAATAGAAAATCTGTATGAATCCTAGGAGGTTTTTTCTGTGAAAAATCGGTTTATTGACGAATAAGAGACAGCTTGTGAATGTTGTCTTTTACCCTGGAGAAAATAAAGTACTGGAGTAGTTCAACTTTAGCTAATTGTACGCTCATAATGGGGTGTTATGTCTGTCCTCTTTTCATTTTTCATAAAGGTTTTTTGAAAGATAGATGCTTTAACGTTCGGTTGGTTTTATTCAAGGATTCTTAATCAATTTGTATCTTGTTTCAAAAACAAGTTTTCCTTGTCTGGTTTTCTTCACATCTGCACAGAATGCAGCTTAAGCCTGCTCAGACAGGAAACCAGCCAGCAAGATTTGCTTTTTTTGGGCACAAGGCTTTTCTGGGCTTCATAAACTGTTGATATTAAGCTGAAATTGCGTCCCGGAAGTGCTGTATATTTTTGTTGAGGGACCACCTGGCACAATGGAGGACAATAGTGGTAGATGACAAATATTTTAATTCATTTAAATGAAAACATCTTGTGATGCCAAGTTCTGCCTGCTTAGAGGTATGGTTTAGAGGACAGCTACCTGTGAGCTTGCCCCCAGCTACAGATGTGTTTGTAGGGAGATGCTGCTTCAGTGTGAAGTGATCCCAAGAGCCAGCACGTGAATTACTGATGACTGTTTGTTACGATGATGACATTGTCTTAGAGCTCAAGTGTTTGGTTTTCCTGTTACTTTAACTATAACTCAGTTACAGGACTTGTTTCAGATCTGTGTTACTTAAATTGAGGAACATACCATTAACATTTAGGTTAATCGTAATACCTTTTGGACTTGATGATCTGAAATGTCCCTTCCAACCTAGACAATTCTATGATTCTATCTAAAAAATATTTTTTTTTACTTTTTTGAAGAACAAACCTATGCCTTTGAAGATTTAAACCATCATTGTATCCCTTAAATATGGAGACCCTTTTACCTTTTGGAGGTAGAAAGAAAACCAGATCAGTCAAGTGCTTAATGGAAGGCTTATACACATTTAATGTCCTTGTAGCTGTGTAGAAAACATCATGCATCTCAAACAAAATTATATTAACCTTGTTATACACAAAAAATGTACTTAACTTTGGAATTGATAATTTATATTAAAAAAACCCAAACCACTAATATTTTTAAGAGTCTGTCATCATTATAGAGCCTGCCAGTCTCTTTTTTTGGTGAATACTGTTTTGTAAATACTATTTGCAAACTTTTTACAAGTACTGCTGAATTAAAATTAACTGGTACCTGATGCCAAACTCCATGTATCAAACTTGAGTTCACACAAGAGTGTTAGTTTGATGTTGGACACAAAAAAGGTTATTGTTTTACAGATTGAATTAAATGACTTAAAACAGTTTACTAGAAATTCTTCTAATATGGTATCAGAATCATGATAATAGATTTTTTTAAAAACAGTTCCTCAAAGTGGTTGAAACAAAATGTGAATTGTATTCTAATTAGTCATGTAAAAGGAGAGCTGTAAATACAAGCATACGTATTTGTATCTGATCCCCCAAAATAAATATATGCTTATCTGTATATCTGATGCCCCAAAATAAACACATTGAAATGTTCTTAGCTGTATATCATGTTTTCCAGTGGTGTGTCAATAGCTGCCTACAGATAGTTGTCAAGTGTCTGCCTCATTGCATGTGTATATAGATGTATTTAAATCAAATAACTTTAAGCAATGAAATAGTAAAGGTAAACAATTTCAAGAAATAAAGAATTTAAAAAAAAAAAGAAACTTCTGTATTACACAGTGAAAGCTGGAAGATGTTATGAAAGGTATAAAGTGCTTAAACCTTCTATTTCTCCTGTTAATTTTAAAATTTTGGGTGTGTACTATTCCTGAGTTCAGTAACAAAATGTAAAGAGGACCAAGCTATTTCTTTCCTGGTCTGGGAAAGATTGGCATTGACCTGATTTTTATCATATTCAAATGTTGTTTTATTGCCTTTTTCAGATCAGTATGCAAATTTGTCTTTGGTCTTACAAGGCTGGCTCTTAAGGTAGAATGTCTGTCCCATTAAATAAAAAGAAGAAGAAAAAAAAATAATGCAATAGCCTGCAGTAAGACAGAGCCATAAAAGGTGAAGCAGGCAAAATGGGAATAGGTGGTCAGCGGTACAGATTTTTTTTTTTTAAAGCAAAACAAAAACAGGCAAAAAAATAATTCCAAAACTTGAAACTAAAAAAAAAAAAAAGCCCACCATCCTCAAACCACGTACCACGTGGCTATTGAGGATTTCAGTTTTGGACCTAGTGAGTGTGTTCCCGTCTCTATTGCTGCACAACTTCATTTTGCCAATTTATGTATAAGGATGAAAAGATGTCAGTTCTTAGACGCTGTTAGACATGAAGCTCTTTTTGTAGGAGAAAAGAAAAATGTGAACAATGCTTCTAAAAACCTTTTGTTGAATTTGCTTAAGCTAAATATGAAAAATCACATTGGACTGTACAGCTGCTGACAAAGATCCTTTCTTGACCATGAAAGGCAATGTCAAAGAAGGAAGTGTGAACCCAACATTAGCTCAACTTGGTGCAAGTTGTGAAGGAGAATCTTTAATTATTCTTTAGTGATCTTGTCAAAGCTAATCTTGATGCTCATCTGCTGTTTACCGCTTGCATCTTTGCACTTGGGGTATTAGAAATCTTAGGCATATTCTTCAAAGTAGTGAGAAAGACCTATCTAAATTCAGTGGTAGTGGGGGGAAACAGCTACGCTTCACTTATTCTGCTGTGGAAACTTCAACTACCAGTTGAAACTGCTCAAAACATTGTGGGTAGGCACAGAACAGTCTTAAAATTAGTAACAAGGAACTCTGTTTAACTTCTGTGCTTTTTGTTCTGCAGTGTGATGTTCAGGGTCAGAAATGCCTTATGTGGATCGTCAGAATCGCATTTGTGGTTTCCTAGATATTGAAGAAAATGAGAATAGTGGGAAATTTTTGCGGCGGTACTTCATTCTGGACACACGAGAAGACAGTCTGGTGTGGTACATGGATAACCCACAGGTGAGATGTTCTTGGCAATAGTTATCTGGCTTCTGTTGATTTCCACTGTTTCGTATTTTTAACAAACTTATTTTAGAAAAATGGGGTTTAATATTAGTTTGTGGACCTGGAAGCGAGGGGGAAAAAGGCTAGTTACATAAGTGAAATACTTGTAAATTGTTGTTTCTTCTTTCCTAATATATGCAGTATTTTAAAGAAAAAATGTAGTACATAATTCTATTTAAAACATTACCAATTGCACTTAATAGTAAAACAATAAAAATGACTTGGAGATCAGTGAATTGAACATACAACAACATCTAAGTATTGACAGGAGATTTAGGGATCAGACGGGAATCTGAATTTGATCCCACACATGAATTGGTCATTAGTTTTGAATCGTGCTGCGCTATATTTATCTTCTGTTAAGCATCTTGAGTGAGCGTTACAGATTCAGAGGAGCTGAATCACATTCGAGTTTCACTACACAGGTCTTTTAATCCACCTCTAACCTCAGTGGAAGTACAGAATTTTCCTTGCATTGCACGGGCCCCGTAGCTGTTTCATATTACTTTACCTCAGCAGAATCATTGAAAAGCAATTTCTGATGATGCTTGCAATTTCAATAGAGCAAGAATAGTACATGAACCAGGAAAGCTTGTATCCATCAGGATGGATGGCCTCCTTTAGGTAAAAGCTACTTCTACAACGTACACATCTCAATGTGTTCTCAGGCATAGGGGAGAACAGATAATTGCTGGGGGTTTGGGTACAGAGACAGTGAACGCGTAGGATCTAGGTCAGCTGGCAGCTCTCTGCCAGAAGAATATCCCTGAGCCATTCTGCCAGGAAGAACAGAGCTAAATGCAGTAGAAGTCTACTGTTCAAAGGAACAGACGGAAAAAAAATGTTAAATGATGTGCAGCTGGATGAATGTGCTTGTGACTGAAGCATTGAGCGGTTCTTACTGAGGAGAAAAAAAAGAAAGAATTTCTGGAAATGAGAGACCTCAAACTTTTGATGTCAATGGGTGATATGAAGCAATTCTTTTTCTCGGTTTCTCCTGTGATATAACCAGGGCATGTGGGCAAAAACTTGAATGCTGTACAAATTCAAATTCTTCAGAAGTCTTAAGACTAATGATACTTGCAGTTGTTAGTTTAGGCTTGCTTTTTTTTTTTCTAATGTTACCTTCTATGGGCAAATGAAAGAGTGACTTGCAAGAGGCAAGTTGAAGCTTCTTGATTTTCTTCCACTGCTTTAGTTCTGAAGAATGACAGAGTTTTTGTAGATCCACTGTGTGGAGACCATTCTTAGTCCATGAGGTGATGGAACTTTTCACGTAGGATGAGTCTGTGGAGTGAGCAGAACCTCACTGGGCCCTTTGTTGCTCTCATTCTGTCTGAGAATCTGTTCAGCTGTTCAAAGGAATAATGTTTTTAAGTCCACCATTAACCACACATTATTATCTTAATGTAAAGATTATAAAATGGGTATATGGTGGGATCAAAATCATTCTGGTAAAGTAAAACTTAAATTTATTTATTTGGGCAGAATGGGAAGACTTTTAAAATTCACTTTCAGTGTTATCAGCCTATAGCAAACCTGTCCTACTTCTTACCTTTGAAATACATATGGTTTATAAACCAACTGTCTGTCTTTCTGACTCTGGGTAGCATTAGGCTCCTCTTTGCCATGTAGAAGTTTATAAGGTACTAAGCAATAATTTTAGCTGCAAAAAAGGATCAGTGGGCAGATGCAGTACTGTTCTTACGGTTTCCAGTACTGATACTGGAATATAAAGAGCCATTTCAAAATGAAAAATGGTAATGGAAAAAAGTATATGGAAAGCAATGCTCTGTTTAAAGGAATAAAATTAGGAAGACTTTAATCAGAAAGAGTTAATAAAAAAGTTAACTATGGCTTGTTCTTTAACTGTTGTCTTTCTAGGCTACTGGCTGCTTGTGAATAGCAATGTAAGTGTTAAGGGTAGTGTGCTAAGCAAGGATGGAAAGACAACAGCTCCTTTCTGGATTGTAAAAAGACTTAACTGCAACTTTAGGAATTATCATGGTCTTTCCCTGCAATAACTTAATATTAGATGATACGACTAGGATTTTTTCAATCCATTCTGGAAAATACGTGAGGCAGCCTTTGAAGTGTCTGACATAGTAGATGAATGTCACTCCTTGTCCCTTCCGCCTGCCCTGGTCAAAATATATAAGACGCCAACATCTGTTAAGGAAAAAGTATTCTTTCCGGATTTCCTGGATGCAGACCTGCAAGAATCCTTTTTCCTCTAGTAAAATACATAAACTTCTGAAACAATTACTGTTTGTATTGTTTCTAGCAGTCTTTCTGTTTTTAGTTGATTAACAGATGTGTGTATAATAAACAAGCAGTTTAGATCCTGTTTCAAGTATACATTGTGTATTGTCTATAAAAACACATAGCATTTTCTTTTTGTTTGTGGAATTGAGTTATTTGCTTTTTATATATAAACACTGACTGTGATATGAGAATAAACCAGTTTCACTTTGTAACGTATGGTTTGTTTCAGAATCTTCCCTCTGGATCTCCACCTGTTGGAGTCATTAAACTTACCTATATTTCAAAGGTAAGATAAGTGAGACTTTTTTGGCTAAATTTTGGTCATAACTACTAAGGCCTCAACTTTAGACGATTTTAAAAGCCTGTTATGTAGTGCATGGGAACCTTTTTGCTTGTCTGCTACTCCTGAATTTCAGAGAAGTGTTACAAACACTTCAATAGTGTCAGGTTGAAATAAGAACAGACTAATTACCGTGTTGTCTAGGCTTGTTTTGTGACTTCAAGTGGCAGCTCTTTGTGCCGTGTAGAATTAATATTTCTGAACTGTCTGTTTCAGTTCTTTGAGTATTTGAATTCCTGTTAGTCTTGGAGAAAAGACAGGCCGTTTGTGAAGTGGGTGTGATAGTCTGCAAGTAATAATGATCTTTAATAGATAGAACAGAAGAACGTCAAGAAAATACTTACTTCATTATATTCTATATACACTCGCTTCCAAATATGTCTGAAAGAAAACTGTGAACTAAGAAAGTCTTCATGGTTAAATTTGTAGCAGATAGTTCAAATTTAGCCACTTGAAAGAGGAAACAAAATTGTGATATCTGATGTATATTTTGTATGCACAGTGATATTTATAATCTTAATTCCCCTCCCAGGTTAGCGATGCAACCAAGCTAAGGCCAAAGGCAGAATTCTGTTTTGGTAAGTTCTTGGATGTGGCACGTGCATTGAGCATGTTCTTCAGAAATGAGAAACAAAGATAATGTTCTGCAATTCTGTTACTAGATACAGTTGGTAGTGCATTTTTCAAAAATAGCTTATATTTACTGTTTCCTCTTTAGTACAAGGGAAGTGTTGGCTTCTTCATAAGGTGTTATTGTGATTTTTCACGATGCAGCTTAACGAGGAGTAGGCAAGGGCTGCTTTTCAGATGTTTGAAATTTTTGAGGCATTAATAAGTTAATCAAAAATGATGGGTGTTTTCAGAAACATGGCATGCCTGTCAGCTATGAAGACAAGCAATTTAACTATTTTAATCTGTATTATTACTAAAAGAGTTCATTTAATTGATGTAAAAATACTATCAGCCAATGCTCTTAGGTTAAATTTCATCCTCTGTTTCTGCACCAAAGAAAAATAATTTGCTTTGGGGTACCTTCTAGGTTTATTGATACTTAAACTTTCTTAAACTTGAGTAAAACTTTAGCTAATCATAAAAGCCCCTATGATATATTTTCAGATTTTTTTTTCTCATGAGTAATTTGTCCAGAACTTACCATAATTCCAGAATTTTTTGACAAGTAATTGGCATTTGCAGAAGTACACCTAAGGACTGGAATCAGCCTCTGCTCTGTTTATGAATAACCGTTCTTTATGGCTGCATTCACATAAGAATTTTAGCTCAGATGAAGGTACTGAAAATGCCTGAAAGGATTATGACAATTAGTTAGGGTGTCCTTTGGCACATGGGGTGTTTACACTCTGTAAATCACCCTGTGGGTAAGGCTTCAGGGATCTGAGACCAAGTACCTGCTGTGTCCGTTCAGTGCCATCTACAGATTCCTCTGCACATGCACACGTAGAGGTGTTTGTCTTCTTCATCAGTGGTTCCTGTCAGTGGGCCAGCTCTAAAAAGAATTAATGGCTCAAGATGCTGGCTGAAAGCTTTTAAGATTTCTGATTTATTAAGGTGTTTTTGATCCTTTTTAGAGGAAAAATTTACCATCTTTTTAATTAAATACTGGGAAAGGTTGTTTCAGTCAACCAATTTTACAGTTCTGTATTTTGAATTTGTATTTGCATCTAGTAATGTTTGCTTCAAACCATCCACTTTGGAGAGAAGGATGATAGAAGAGTTAAAAAGTATCTGTTTCTGGCACGTGTTTGCTGTTAGCAGTGACCTGAACTGTTCTGTTCTAGTCAGAGCAGGGAAATCTGTTCAGACTTGAGCTGCAGTGCTTCACAGTTCTGGGAGTTTTAGTCACTGATCCCCTTAAAACTAATTTCCAGATAAGTTCTTAGAGTTTGTGAGAAGCTTAACCATGTTGTGGTTTATTTTTTTTACTCAGAAATATTTTTGTCCTTTTTGGATAAAGATATGCTAGGTGTTGCCAGGTGGATACATCAACTTACTAAAAATATGCTTGCTTTGCCAAGTCACTGAAGTAAAATAAAGTTTAAAGTTGTTTCATCCTGAGCATCATATATTTAGTAACCAATACTGATTTTTCCACAGATTAAAAACAAATAAGTCAGTGACCATAGTTAATGAGTTTGTTGCAAAGGATAAAAAATAGTGGTCAGAGGGTTAAAAGGAGAAATTGTAGAAGTTCCCAAATATAAAACTTTGAAGATTTAGGAAATTGAGAAGTAGAAAATTCTGATAAAATTCAAGGCTTTTTTTTTTTCTATGTAATAAAAATAATTTAACAAATTCTCTATGGTGCTGTTTAAGTTAAGAGCTTTAAAAAAAAAGAAAAATAGGTGTGTTTTTAAGGTAAAACAAGTCTGTCAAGTGATGTGTGTCTCTTAAGATGACTTTCTAAAAACAAATGCAGCAGAGAGCTTGAATACTTCAACTGGATTTTCCATCTGAAAGTAAAGCTTTTTATGATGGTGTTACATCTGCTCTTAAATGTCAGTGTTATTAACTTTTGTACTGGTTTTTAACAGTTATGAATGCAGGGATGAGAAAATACTTTCTTCAAGCCAATGATCAGCAGGACCTAGTTGAATGGGTAAATGTTCTGAACAAAGCTACCAAAATCACAGTAAGTGGTTTAGTTTATATTTGGTGCTGCTTTCAAATGTTTACTGTCCCAAGGTGCTTAAATGTAACCTTTGCCTCCAGTTTTTATGCTAGAGTAGTCTTTTTATCTCTATGAACAAGTCTTGGCTTGGCTTCCCAAGACTTGGAGAAACTGTACAAAACTCACCTTAGGCTTGAGTTTAATTTACTTTTTGCTTTGGATATTGAACGAAAAAAGTGATTAGCTTTTTTGTTACACCATATGATGGTTTCTACTAATTTAAAATTAACCATACACATTTAATACGAATTGAAATATCCAGAAGACACTTGCAAGCAATGAAAAGATACTTGTCTATTTGCCTGTTGTCAAAAGTTTGTATTTCCTGAAGTCTCATTACAATAATGAGCAAATGCATCATGCCATGTTCCAAGGGCTGTCTCCTGAGTTCAGGTAATGGAACATGAACATGCATTCAAAGAAACGTTAATGCATTCTTCTAGGTGATAAATTACTTTTCTGGTTTGTACCAGGACAGTTTGTTATCACATGATAGAAAGCCCCACGTATTTACCTCAGTCTTTTCAGGAGGCAGAAGTTATGGTTTTGTTTTCTCTCTGGTTTCAGGGAAGTGATGACATGAACTGTTTTGAGATCATACCCTTACATAGAAGGCATTCTGCGTGTGGGTGCACAGATTTGTATTTGTTGTCAGTAATTTTCTGATTTTTAGGTTATCTAAGAATATTTCCATGAGTTTTTTGCATTGTTTTAATATAGGCCTTTATATGGAGTTATAAAAATGTATTTACTAATAAAAAACCCAGAGACACAAAGCCTTCTCACTTGGATTTTTCATAAGGAGAACATGCCACAACCAGGCTTGAATTGTGTCCAGTTCATTGATATGTTTTGTATTTTACAGAACAAGCCTTTGCACTGTTAATCTGTTCAGAGGTTATTTAGTATAATTAAGATTGATCAATTATTAGTTTTCATGTGAGCATTACTTGCTGTAGATTGCAATCCTCCCAAGATTTGTTACATTTTTAGTACTCCGAGTGCTGGTAATTTCAAAATAGCTATGAACTTTCACAGTCCAGCACATTGTGTATCTATTTATGAGTATTTATTTGAAAACCAATTCGTATGAGCAGGTGGTTGTAGGTTTGGTCTGTAGGACTTCAGGTCAGAGTTTGTGATGGCTGAAGCACCTACCCATAAAGCATAAAAGGGTTGTCAAACGTTGGAACAGGCTGTGCAGGGAAAAGGTGGAGTTGCCATCCCTGGAGGTATTTAAAAGCCAGGCAGACGTGTGCTGAGGGACATGGTTTAGTGGTGGTTTTTGTCAGTGTTAGGTCGATGGTTGGACTCGATGATCTGACAAGTCCCTTACAGCCTAGACCATTATATGATTCTGTCTGTGTGCAGAGAACGTCTTGTCCTTCAGGCTCAAACTTGGCTATGAACAGAGTCCCCTTCTACCTCCGCTGGCAAAGCTGGGCATTGTGCAGGGCTGAGGGGACCAGGGAGGTGAGAGAATGAGCCTGAGGGCACAACTGAGCAAGTTGCCACCTTCACTTGGCCAGGAGGAAGCTGTCCCAGGCTGACTTTTGTGCTCTCGGGACTGTTTGTACTTCTTTGTGGACTGTTGTTGGCTTTTTTTGTGAAATAAGCTGTCCTGGGCATAGGAACTAGAATCACAGCAGAGTATAAAGTAGCTTTGTTTTTGTCTAGATCAGTTCAATTTCAAGTTTTGGATGTGCCACAGTCTTGCGTGGTAATTCAGTGTGTGAAGACAATCTGTGTGCCCCTTCTTTCTGAAGGAATTTGGAAGTCCTATGTAAATATCCAGTAGGTTGCTGGCTTGGATATTTTGGTGTGAGACTCTTGATCTCTTTGTTGAAGTCACTTCAAATTTATTATATTAATATTAGGGGTGAAAGGATAAATGAAAATGTCTTAGGTAGCCAATTAGTACATTTCTTAGGTTACGGATGTTTGCTTCTTGCACAAACTCAGAAATGTGAGTAAACATTTCAGATCAAAACACTTATTGGGAAATTAAATTCCTGTGGTGTTTTGATTGCTTTAGTTCATCATTTGGGAGAATTAGCTAATCTTAGAATCATAAAATGATTTGGGTTGGAAACGATCTTAAAGATCATCCTGTTCCAACCCCCTGCCAGGAGCAGGGACACCTCCCACTAGACCAGGTTGCTCAAAGCCTCATCCAACCTAGTTAATGATAATTAGAAATAGGTAGTTGGAGTAATTTTGGACAGAATTTAGCTATTGTGTGTAGGAGACAGTACAGAAAGTCTGCACTATGAGTATTGGAATGTGAGTGCAGATGTCATACTGCTCGGGCATCCTGGTTGACAAAAGCCACAGTAGAGTAGCCCTGTATTTGTGGCCTTCCTGTGCTGGCTCTACAGGCACTGGGGTGTCTCCAGTCTGCAGCATTTGTTGCTAAAACTGAAAGCAAGTGAAAAATAAGGAACCAGTTCTTCTGCAAGTCAGCAGTGCTTCTTCAAGATCAAGTATAGCACTTGCAGGAGAGCTGGGAATTGATTTTTAGATTTCAAGGCAACTGGTGAAATGTCTTTATTGGCCCAGTTTTCTTCTGAGAACTGAAGTGTAGCCATTGCAACAAATTTTCATGTAAGCTATTTCCGGCCTTTTACAGTGGCCTTTTACAATTAGAGAACATTTGTTAAATCCTGCTGAAGACAAATTAAAAATGCTTGAATAGGGCTTTCTTTAGGTACTCCTAAACCTTTTCATGTTAATTATTGTATTCCACCTTTAGGTACCAAAGCAGTCTGATCCTCTGTGTCAAATGGATAATGCAAATCGTCAAGCTGAAAGCCCAGGTGGGAAGAAGCAAGTGTCTTACAGGACAGAAATTGTTGGTGGTGTTCCTATCATCACACCTACCCAGGTAATACCCTTAAAACAAGCCTGGAATTGTCTGATAGAGGAAGTTTTATTGTTTTACTGGTGAGAATGAGTTATATATCACATTATTGCTATCGGCTTCTCACCTTGCTCGGAGGACTTACACTTTGATGTGCACCTTTAATTGGTACTGACTGGGTTTTTTGTTTTGAGAACTTTATTCTCTTTACATAAGTTTATAGAGAATTATACAAGACTATAAGGAATTACTTGAGTATTGATTTTTAATCACAGATATCAGTATGCTGAAAACATATTTTTGTGTTCTAATTAATTGTTGGTATTTAAAAAACCAGAACTTTGGCATTGCTAAAAGTCAGGAAAAGTGGGTAAAAAAGGAGGTGATTAAGTCAGCTGATTAACACGTACGCTATGTTTTTAGAGGTAGTGGGGATGACAGCATTAAACTAGAGCAGAAGGGTCTTATCAAGTGGTGTGTGTGAAAAATAAGTAAGTGAAATTCAGTGGAAATAAACGTGATGTAAGAGATTCTGGGAAAAACAATCTGATTTTTAATAGAAGATACTGGATTGTGAAATAACCATTTCCACTTGAGAGGTAAGAGTTACAGTCACACTACGAAAACATCATCTCAGTGTTCAGTAACGGTGGAGGAAAAACCCACAAATATTGGGCATTACTAGAAAAAGAATAAGGAGCAAAACAGAAAATATTTTTGTTGCTGTCTAAGTCCTGTCTTTGACCACTTTTTTCCTCATCTTGAAAACTAGAAATGGAAAGGTTCAAAGATTTCAAGGATGGTTGGTCCACCTGAGTGCTGATACTTTCAAAATAGCTATGAACTTTTACAGTCCAGCACATTGTGTATCTATTTATGAGTATTTATTTGAAAACCAATTCGTATGAGCAGGTGGTTGTAGGTTTGGTCTGTAGGACTTCAGGTCAGAGTTTGTGATGGCTGAAGCACCTACCCATAAAGCATAAAAGGGTTGTCAAACGTTGGAACAGGCTGTGCAGGGAAAAGGTGGAGTTGCCATCCCTGGAGGTATTTAAAAGCCAGGCAGACGTGTGCTGAGGGACATGGTTTAGTGGTGGTTTTTGTCAGTGTTAGGTCGATGGTTGGACTCGATGATCTGACAAGTCCCTTACAGCCTAGACCATTATATGATTCTGTCTGTGTGCAGAGAACGTCTTGTCCTTCAGGCTCAAACTTGGCTATGAACAGAGTCCCCTTCTACCTCCGCTGGCAAAGCTGGGCATTGTGCAGGGCTGAGGGGACCAGGGAGGTGAGAGAATGAGCCTGAGGGCACAACTGAGCAAGTTGCCACCTTCACTTGGCCAGGAGGAAGCTGTCCCAGGCTGACTTTTGTGCTCTCGGGACTGTTTGTACTTCTTTGTGGACTGTTGTTGGCTTTTTTTGTGAAATAAGCTGTCCTGGGCATAGGAACTAGAATCACAGCAGAGTATAAAGTAGCTTTGTTTTTGTCTAGATCAGTTCAATTTCAAGTTTTGGATGTGCCACAGTCTTGCGTGGTAATTCAGTGTGTGAAGACAATCTGTGTGCCCCTTCTTTCTGAAGGAATTTGGAAGTCCTATGTAAATATCCAGTAGGTTGCTGGCTTGGATATTTTGGTGTGAGACTCTTGATCTCTTTGTTGAAGTCACTTCAAATTTATTATATTAATATTAGGGGTGAAAGGATAAATGAAAATGTCTTAGGTAGCCAATTAGTACATTTCTTAGGTTACGGATGTTTGCTTCTTGCACAAACTCAGAAATGTGAGTAAACATTTCAGATCAAAACACTTATTGGGAAATTAAATTCCTGTGGTGTTTTGATTGCTTTAGTTCATCATTTGGGAGAATTAGCTAATCTTAGAATCATAAAATGATTTGGGTTGGAAACGATCTTAAAGATCATCCTGTTCCAACCCCCTGCCAGGAGCAGGGACACCTCCCACTAGACCAGGTTGCTCAAAGCCTCATCCAACCTAGTTAATGATAATTAGAAATAGGTAGTTGGAGTAATTTTGGACAGAATTTAGCTATTGTGTGTAGGAGACAGTACAGAAAGTCTGCACTATGAGTATTGGAATGTGAGTGCAGATGTCATACTGCTCGGGCATCCTGGTTGACAAAAGCCACAGTAGAGTAGCCCTGTATTTGTGGCCTTCATGTGCTGGCTCTACAGGCACTGGGGTGTCTCCAGTCAGCAGCATTTGTTGCTAAAACTGAAAGCAAGTGAAAAATAAGGAACCAGTTCTTCTGCAAGTCAGCAGTGCTTCTTCAAGATCAAGTATAGCACTTGCAGGAGAGCTGGGAATTGATTTTTAGATTTCAAGGCAACTGGTGAAATGTCTTTATTGGCCCAGTTTTCTTCTGAGAACTGAAGTGTAGCCATTGCAACAAATTTTCATGTAAGCTATTTCCGGCCTTTTACAGTGGCCTTTTACAATTAGAGAACATTTGTTAAATCCTGCTGAAGACAAATTAAAAATGCTTGAATAGGGCTTTCTTTAGGTACTCCTAAACCTTTTCATGTTAATTATTGTATTCCACCTTTAGGTACCAAAGCAGTCTGATCCTCTGTGTCAAATGGATAATGCAAATCGTCAAGCTGAAAGCCCAGGTGGGAAGAAGCAAGTGTCTTACAGGACAGAAATTGTTGGTGGTGTTCCTATCATCACACCTACCCAGGTAATACCCTTAAAACAAGCCTGGAATTGTCTGATAGAGGAAGTTTTATTGTTTTACTGGTGAGAATGAGTTATATATCACATTATTGCTATCGGCTTCTCACCTTGCTCGGAGGACTTACACTTTGATGTGCACCTTTAATTGGTACTGACTGGGTTTTTTGTTTTGAGAACTTTATTCTCTTTACATAAGTTTATAGAGAATTATACAAGACTATAAGGAATTACTTGAGTATTGATTTTTAATCACAGATATCAGTATGCTGAAAACATATTTTTGTGTTCTAATTAATTGTTGGTATTTAAAAAACCAGAACTTTGGCATTGCTAAAAGTCAGGAAAAGTGGGTAAAAAAGGAGGTGATTAAGTCAGCTGATTAACACGTACGCTATGTTTTTAGAGGTAGTGGGGATGACAGCATTAAACTAGAGCAGAAGGGTCTTATCAAGTGGTGTGTGTGAAAAATAAGTAAGTGAAATTCAGTGGAAATAAACGTGATGTAAGAGATTCTGGGAAAAACAATCTGATTTTTAATAGAAGATACTGGATTGTGAAATAACCATTTCCACTTGAGAGGTAAGAGTTACAGTCACACTACGAAAACATCATCTCAGTGTTCAGTAACGGTGGAGGAAAAACCCACAAATATTGGGCATTACTAGAAAAAGAATAAGGAGCAAAACAGAAAATATTTTTGTTGCTGTCTAAGTCCTGTCTTTGACCACTTTTTTCCTCATCTTGAAAACTAGAAATGGAAAGGTTCAAAGATTTCAAGGATGGTTGGTCCACCAAGGATGATTGGTGGAATGATTTCCATGTGAGGAACAACTGAGTAGGCTGGTACTCTTCCATGTGCAAAAGAAAGAACTAAAGGACGATGTAAGAGCTCTACAAAATCACAGTTGGCAGAAAGGGATGGTGTAAACTTATGAGTTTGCACCAAATACATGCATATATCTTGTTTATAGGTCGGTAACATTCTTTATTGAGTGTCTGTCAATATTGTTTGAGAATATTCAGCACTTTCCTAGTGTAGTTTCTAAATGGAGCTTGCAAATACTCAACCAGAGCCCTTGGAGAGTCTCATTCGTTGTCTCTAGAAATCAGCTGAAATATTTTTTCCTTTCAAAGAAATTGGAAATGGGATTTGTGAGCATGGGATGATGCAATTATTTCCTATTATAATAAATACAGTTATTCTTTCGCCTTTAGAAGAAAATGAATGGTCTGAACTTTGCTGCTTTTTTTTCTAGAAAGAAGAAATCAGTGAGTGCAGTGAAGGGGGTGATAGGAATTATTTGAAACGGTCACAAAGTCACCTTCCATATTTTAGTGCTAAGCATCCCCCAGATAATGCTATTATCAAAGCTGGCTACTGTGTAAAACAAGGAGCAGTGGTAAGTATTTGAGATCAGTGTATTTAATTGAGAACAACAGTCCTAAGGTGATAGTTCTACTTGCCAAGTAGATGATTAAAAAAAAAAAGACATAATTACCAATAACTTTAGCCATTCTTAATATTGTCAGTAATGTTGAAGATAAAACTTACCCTCCAGTAGCATGTAATTTATGTCTGTGATACTTCTTTTCATGACATTCTTCAGTGTTACGTTACTGGAGATGTTTTGGAGAGGAAAAGTTTTGGACACAGGGACTTTCACCTAAATTAAGGCAGAAGTTCAATGCCTGCATGCTTTTTAAATCACTAAAATGTGATTTAAAGCTCATTTTTCAGTTCAGAGGAAGAATTCTACAGCTTGTCAGACTAATTAGCACAAGTTGAACTAATCACGCCATGCCTTGCTAAAAGAAGGAACAGATAGTTGAGTTTAAGCAAGATATATGCATGCTTCATAAATCCTCAGACTTATTTTATCTTGGATTATGAAGATTCTTTTTGTAACATGCCTTTTTTTAGTTAAAAATAAGCTAGAAAGCTTTAATGTATTGTCTTTTAACATTTCTTATGGGGCATTGTGCTGCTGAGTTGCTACAGTTTCAGTGGAGATTGAAAAAAATTTGTATAATAGAAAATAGTTGCTTCCAGGCTAAAAGAAGGAACAGATAGTTGAGTTTAAGCAAGATATATGCATGCTTCATAAATCCTCAGACTTATTTTATCTTGGATTATGAAGATTCTTTTTGTAACATGCCTTTTTTTAGTTAAAAATAAGCTAGAAAGCTTTAATGTATTGTCTTTTAACATTTCTTATGGGGCATTGTGCTGCTGAGTTGCTACAGTTTCAGTGGAGATTGAAAAAAATTTGTATAATAGAAAATAGTTGCTTCCAGAATTTTTAATTTTGGCAGTTTAAAAAAAAATTAATTAGGCAGAGTCCTGCCGAATTATTTTGGGGGGCACTGTATATATATACAACCCACATAAATATATGTAATATATAGATATTATAGCTGAATATTTTTAAATAAATAGGAATTATACAAGATCATATAAATATAGACTGGAATTATAAATATGTATATTAATTAGTAATATATAATATGTAAGTATATTTTTGTTTTATATATAAATACTTATTTTCCTTTAATAGATGAAGAACTGGAAGAGAAGATACTTTCAGTTAGATGAAAACACAATAGGATATTTCAAGTCTGAACTGGTAAGTTTCCAAATGTGTGTTATTCTCCAGAGATGGTTGCAAGAAAATCTGAAGAAATGTATTTGAAAAGGCTGCTGTGCTGATTCTGCAACTCTTAGCTATGTCCTGTAATAACTTCTCTTGATTGAGAATAACTAAAAATAATCATCGCTCTTGAATCTTTTGACCAGTTTTGACCAAATTTTAAGTACCTTCAGGTTTCATTTGAACTTGAAACGGCTGGTACTTGAGACGGTCTGGTATCCCCAGAAAGGAATCCTGCACTTATGAAACATGAGAACATCTGTGCATGAAGAACAAATTCTGAGTTGTAGAGTGTCATAAATCAAGGAAAATATAGTTTACAGGTCAACTGTAAGATGCGAAAGGTAAAGCAGCCAAATTTCAGGATGTTTTAGAAGAGATCTTTTGCTTTACCTTTAACGAGGGAATACAACAGTAGCAGGAGTTTGATCTTGCATTGTTGTCTCTGTTAAACTGTCAGAATAACAATTCTGACACATTGCCTATAATAAACCCTCTGTTCTCATTTTAAAATAAAATCTGACTGCAGATTGCTTGCAAGTAAATTCTAACTCAATGAAGAATTGAGGGAGTATACTAGAAAGCTGCCTTGAAAGTCTCATTTACATAAGTCTGCTGCCATCAACTGTCCTGACCTCTGCTTTTTGACTATATTCTATTGTTAGATATGCTCTACTGAAATATTTCTGTCTTTTTTTTTTTTTTCAGGAAAAGGAACCTCTCAGGGTTATACCACTTAAGGAGGTCCATAAAGTTCAGGAATGCAAGCAAAGGTGAGGAGGGAAGGACAGATGTAGTTACATGGGATGTAGTACACTGCTTTTTCCTGACTGGACTGTTCGTTGGAAACAGTGGAGAACTCTTTAATAACTTTGGTTGATGTATTCATGTGGCATACTCTTTACTTAAGAGAGCAAGTAGTTTTGTGCATAACACTGGTTTTGAGGGTTCTGCATTAGTTTGTTTCAAACTTGTAACATTCAGTAGAACATGATACTCTTTACTTAGGACAGCAAGTGGTTTTGTGCAAAAAACTGTTTTTGAGGGTTCTGCATTAGTTTGTGTTTCAAACTTGTAACATTCAGTAGAACATAAATGCATTTGACAAGGGTGGAACAAAGGAGTTATTGTACAGTCATGAGTCAGGGATGAGTGGATGCTGTCTGATTTGAGACAGCAATTTTAGGAGTCTGCTTACATAATCTCTACACCTTTAGAGGACATTACCTTATGTTAAATGTCTGAAATCTAGATGAGAACACTCTTCCTCCTGCTGTTTCCCTCCCACCAAATGGCAATATACTAAAGAATTAATTGCATTTGTAGTAGGTTGGTTTTTTTAGCAGGCTGTTGCTTAGGACTAATACTTTGCAAAGACATAACAAAACATAAGTGTGAAATTTTACAGAACTATAAATATTTTTAACATGATACTATTTTAAATGTTCCAATTAAAAATATATATAGATAAATGCATTTGACAAGGGTGGAACAAAGGAGTTATTGTACAGTCATGAGTCAGGGATGAGTGGATGCTGTCTGATTTGAGACAGCAATTTTAGGAGTCTGCTTACATAATCTCTACACCTTTAGAGGACATTACCTTATGTTAAATGTCTGAAATCTAGATGAGAACACTCTTCCTCCTGCTGTTTCCCTCCCACCAAATGGCAATATACTAAAGAATTAATTGCATTTGTAGTAGGTTGGTTTTTTTAGCAGGCTGTTGCTTAGGACTAATACTTTGCAAAGACATAACAAAATAGAAGTGTGAAATTTTACAGAACAATAAATATTTTTAAACTTAACATGATACAGTTTTAAATGTTCCAATTAAAAATATATATAGTAGCATACATGCCAATGATTAAGAGTCTTAGGACTAAAATGAGTAGGAGAAGATGATTTTCTTTTTCTACTTGGTATTTACCAAAAAAAACAACAGTAGAATGGTAAAGAAATTCAAAGGTCTTCAGATAATGAATGCTCTGGTTCTCTGCACATCTTAGAGTCCTTTTAAAATAGAAAGTTCTTGCTGTTGAAGTATTTGTGTGTTGTTTCATTTACAGTGATATAATGATGAGAGACAATCTCTTTGAAATTGTAACAACTTCTCGAACCTTTTATGTACAGGTAATTTCCTTTTTTCAACTTTGGGCAAAACCAGGAGACTGCCATAGTCAAAGCAAAGAAGCACTCGCTGTTTTGCTTTTTAAGTTGTATTTAATTAGGCCATGATTTTCAGAGGGAATGTGATCTTCATTGTATTTCAGAAAGATGGGTATAAGAAATATTCCACATAACAGCAGCTGCTATGTTGGTAGTATATGAAAGCAATACACAATAAATCATTTGGGTCTTCAAATTCTGTAGGATCAAATCTATTCAAAATTTTTATTTTGAAGTACTAAATTTTTTTGTATAACAATTGAGTTCTCAGATTCAAGTTAGTTGCCACATTAAAATATCTACTAAAACACAGCAATATTTAGATTTCAGTACCTATTTGGTAGATGTATCCATATGCACTCTATACACTTGCATCCTTAGCATGTTATCTTCTAAATGTTGATATAATGCGAGTCACAAAGACTTGCTTTTCTGAGCTCTGTGGGAATGTGGTGCTCATAGCTCTGGAAAGAATTTTTGAGTTCGATTGTTGTACATAAATGTAGAGCTGACCCCTAACAGAGACTGATTTTTATTTTACTGTAACTCATCAGTAAATACCTCATAGAAATAAAGTGCAACAGTGACTGAAAAGTACAGAAGTTCTGTCTTGGACCAGAGCCTGCTGAGAGGGGTCAGCAGATCTGCTGCAAGAATTGCTGTGGGGGCTTTAATTATTTTGTTGGCTGAAAGTAAAAATGTAAATCTACAATATGTAAACAGTATCAAAATGCTTAATTTTTGCTTATTAATTTGTATCATTATATATATATAATAGTAAATTCAAGGTAAGATTTTAAGAAATGTCTGGGTTAAGAAATGTAAAGCCCTGTGGCTTTAAATAAGACTGCTGAAGTAGGATAAGGCTGTCACTTTAATGCAGATGCTCAGGATGCTGGGAAAGTTGAGAGGTGATTATGTTAAATATACCACATATTGTTTGATCCAGGCGGACAGCCCAGAAGACATGCACAGTTGGATAAAAGCAATTTCTGGGGCCATTGTAGCACAGAGGGGACCTGGAAGATCAGCAGCTTCCGTATGTTATTCTGAACCTCAGAGAAAATGTTGATGTTCATTTGTGCACATGAAGTTCTAGTTGTTTTTTCCCTTTGCCCTGTCCTCTCTCCTGTCCTGTAGTAACGTGGCACCTTTGCATGAATGAACTTTCTTACAGACTGGCATAAAATATTGTGCATTTTTAATAGAGCGCTTATATCTTAGTCTGACATGTATGTAACTTTATGTGCATTGTATTGTCTTGAACGTGTAGATGATGCAGGCTCTAACCTAGAAAAAACTCTTCTGAGTTCAGTATGGTCTTTGTCACTGTGCTGCTACTAGTTTGGAAGTAAAATTGAAACTTTCTAATTCCTGCGAGGTGTTTCTAATTGCTGAATTTTGCAATCAAATGACAATATCTTAATTTGTTTTTAACAACTCTCACGACTAAATTGTCTTTTTTCTGTTGTTGATAGTTTATTGTATACACAGATACAGATTCAAATTTAAAGTAACTTCTCTGAGATCTCTGCTCGCATGAATTGGTTTTTGCTGTTGGAAACGTAGTGTGAACACCATCCAGCATCACTGAACTGAGGCACTGTGACAAATCTGACTATTTGTGAAGCCACGTGGATGCCAACATTTCAGACATACTTGTGTTTAAACTGTAGTAGCTTCAGAACAAAGAACGTGAACTTGTGAATAGTGAAAGTTGCTGTGGTGTCACAGTGTCTCCAAGTATGTCCAGGTTTAACAAATGGAATACTTCACAGTTCAGATGTTGCAAGCCATGGTTTTCACTTGCTGGCTATGGGACGCTTTGAAATATGCTGAATATATCATTACCCCCATAATCTGAAACCTAATCATTTAAATCTGGCCTTTCACTGCAATTTGCATTGATACTCTGTTACTGTTAACTCGGTCTAAACTCTCAATTATTGCAGCTGGGAGCTGCTTCCTACTTTTAAATACAACTTCCCATCATAAATTGAATTTTGGGGGGAATGAAAATATGCAGGTGACTTTTCTTTGTGTATGCCTTTTTTTGTGTGGGGCTAACTGAGCGATCTAGCTGTTACTGTCTGCATCACTTCTTTCTTTTTTTCCCCTCTTTTCTCTTCTTTCCCCAAGTTTAGGTTACTCTAATCTTAGCTTTGCACTGTGTTCCAGATGCGGCAGGCCAGAAGGCTGTCGAATCCTTGTATACAGAGGTATACATCAAGAACTGGTGAATGCAGCACGTATGTGGGCTCTCATGTAAAACTTGCCTTCTTAACAGAGGGCTAGGACTAGAGACTAATTTGCACTATAAAAAAAAAAACACTAAAAATAATGCTACCTGTTGTCACTACCATTACTGAAAACTAACTCATAAATTATATCATTCACTTACAGGTTTGCACTGTTTTTTCTTACTTTTAAAAATAATTGGAAATTAAAAATGGCAAAAACATTTTATACTTCAGAGAGTACTATATATTTAAACGTAAGTTATGTGATGTCGTTTTAATGGGAAAGTATTAAAACTAATTTGCATGAGAGTTCATATTTCCATTTTACTTTACATTTTTTTGAAACTGCGCAAAAGCAAAATTAAATTTAAGCTCCCCACAAACTAATACAGATGCGTGCACACAAAAAAATGCACGTTATAACTCTAGTAATTGGAAGGATAATATTGTAGCCTGATTTGCATGGCTTATAAGTCTCTGCATGAAATTATTAGTTCAAACGTAGAAGTATTACACTGTATAATGGGTACACTGTTCAAAGCAGGACACCTTAGGAGGAATACAGCAGCCTAGTCCCTTCCCTGAAATTACACTCAGTGTGGGTAGTAAAATCTGAGTGTCCTTCAGTTAAATTTAGCCAAAAGTTTATTTCAGAAATCTTGTCCTAATGTCCCTTACTTTTGTACTATTTGTTGAAATAAAATCAGTAATAATAAGAATAGTAGGTCAATCACTAAATCATATGTTCTCCTATGGAAAATGTTTTTCTTAAAGTGGAGTATCCGCAGGTATGAAATAAGGCAATGTAAATAATGTGAGATACTTCACTGAAATTGAACGCAAAACTCCAAAAGAAGTTACACAGCTCCTTCACCCAAGAATATTAGTTAAACAAAACTGAAGTCCAAAAAGTTGCACAGCTCCTTCACCCAAGAATATTAGTTAATTTATAAAAAGTAGTGTAATATTTGGCAGAATCCATTATGATTAAATTCATTAATTCACGTCATAGCATTCTAAAAGAGACTTGGAAAACTGCTGTGAAAACAATAAGTATTTCATTGAGGATGTAAATTTGCATCTTGGACACACGTCTGATGATTTTGGTTTTTTTTGCTAACAAATGTGCTTGAGAAGTGACTTGATTTGTGTGCACACATGGGTTGGCCGATGTCCTCAGTCCGTGTACTAACACCGGTGGTGGCAGAAGTGGCAGCAGCCGCAGCTCCTCACGCATGGAGGGGAGGCATTCACTGCACCATCACCCATCATTTGGATCCTGGCATTTCATGCTGCATCCAGCGCTGGTTTAGCTGTCCCTGGGTATTAGAAACATCCTCACAGGACTGATAGATGCAATGCAGAACCTGAGGAACTTTTTGTTCTGGAGATACAACTTAGGCCAGGCACATCCTGATACCCTAGGGTATCTAAAATGGCATTTTGTGCCTGTGCTTTAGACATCTAAACCATTCCTAGCTAGCCTGGGAGTTGATTTCTATCAGTAAGTAAATGGTGGATCATTTATTTGGCTGTATCAATCTGATAGACATTACATAAAGGTCAACAGAATGGCAGTAATAAACCCAAAAGGCCCTGGAACCAATTTGCTCAATTTGTTATTGGGGAGGTCGGTACCCAAAGAAGAGGGAACAGTAAAACGTTCATTAGTTCAGGGATTAGGATGAGTGCCAATGTGTATGAACACATTCAAATACATCTGTGGTTGTGGAGTCCCCTTCCTTGGAGATTTTCAAGACCTGCCTGGATGCAGTCCTGAGTAACATGCTCTAGCTCTGGGCAATCCTGCTTCAGCAGGGGAGTTGGACTAGATGATCTCTATGGTCCCTTCCAACTCTAAAAATTCAGTGAAATTCAGTGAAATTTTTCTCTGGGAAAGATGTTGCTTTCAATGGCGTTTAAAGTTTGTATCTTCAAAAGGTTACTTAACATCTCAGTACGATTAGAAGCTTCAGTTTGCTGGACTGCATTATAAAAGACTAAAGAGCTGCTGAGCTTGATTTCAGAAATTTAATTTCCTCGAGTGAAGAAACTGGTGTTGCTGTCACACCCTGCTGTAAGCTCACATTGAATAATCCACTGCCTTGAGACAGCACCTGCCTCCTGCTGCTGTGGCTGACGCTTCGCTTTGTGTATTTTCTGTCTTGATTTAAATTGTTTTTCTGAGGGTGAAATCTTAAAATGCATCTTTCCAGCATGACGTCAGTGAATCGGTCTGACATGTGCTCTTCTTTTCCAGGAGCATACCGAGCCTCCTGCAGAACCCAACCATGCTCCCCGTCCTGCCGGCCCAGCCCCAGCCACCCCACATTCCGCAGCCTCTCTCGGCAGATTTTAAATTTGTTTTTCTGAGGGTGAAATCTTAAAATGCTTAAATTGTTTTTCTGAGGGTGAAATCTTAAAATGCATCTTTCCAATGTGACGTCAGTGAATCGGTCTGACATGTGCTCTTCTTTTCCAGGAGCATACCGAGCCTCCTGCAGAACCCAACCATGCTCCCCGTCCTGCCGGCCCAGCCCCAGCCACCCCACATTCCGCAGCCTCTCTCGGCAGCCCTCTGGTCCCCAACCCTCCCACCAAACACCCTGCCTTGGAGAAGCGAGGATTTCACGAGTCTTTTACCAAGGCCAAGCCAGGGAGCTACAAGATCCAGGTTGTCGCTCCAAGAGAATCAGCTTCCAAAGTGACTGAACAGGGCCTCTGGGAACCCCAAAGTAAAAATGGCACTCAGGAACAGGATCCTGGCCTTGTGGATCTGGATGATGCAAGCCTTCCAGTTAGTGACGTGTAGGGATGGAAGCGTTTGGAGAACGATCCATTTTGTTCGGTCCTCTTAATTTCCTTGCTCGGACTTTTAACCAAAGAAAATGATAGGAAAGGAGAACAAAAAAAACCGGAACACTGATTTTTTATATATATATGTACATGTGTGTTTCTGGGCACACGTGTGTATATATAAGTGTTTATATATTGCCTTGCCAGCTGAAGGTCAGAAACGGACCTTAATGCGTTTTCTCAAAGCCTGATAGTAAATCACTTACTAGGGAGGGGCCAAACTGCACAATTTAGGAGAAAAACAACAAAAAAAAAAAACCCAAAAGACAAAAGCAAAAAAAAGTACTTCTGCAACTAAGCAAGGTACCAGCAGCTTCTCATTCCTAATCTGGCCAATTTACTAAATTTACAACTAATGCTCTATTGTGGAGAACTTATTGCCAACAAATGTGATTCTTTAGTTTCATTTTGAACTACAGTAAGATTTTAGGCGTGGATGAGAATTGGTTCTCTCCATGATTCTCAGATACCAGGAAATGCACAAAATGTTTTTTTCTGTTCTCTAGTATCAACAGTGTCAACTGATTTGTTACCAGAACAAGAATTCTGAACTCCCTTGGAATTCTAATTATGGTGCTGTAAAAATTCCACTAAAATAATATTTTGAATAGTCAGCCTATTTTTAATGCACTCCTAAAGGTGGGTTGTAACTTTTTGCACATTTGGATTTTAATGGAATGCATGTAACGAATGGTGTTTTGGAGGGGGGGAGAAGAGAAATTGGACTTTGGAATTTGGACACTTTAGATCTTTTGAACTAAGTCGGGTTTATATTGTGTTACATTAGGCTTTGCAGCAATTATTTTTCGTAAATGTCTAACCGTATCGTTCGATAACTGTTTGGAGAATGGTTTTCTTATCAGTGCTTTGTGAACAGTTCTTGTTTCTAGATTGATCAGTGGAAGACCTCGTTTAGTTTTGTCATTATTGGTACTGAACTGTTCATAGTCATGCAATTGTGGCCTATAACTTTTGGTGCACTAAGGATCTTAAGTGCCTGTGTTTTTCCTCACGTTGTTGAAACACTTGGATTCGTGATGTACACAGACCGCTCCTAAGGGGTTTGGATGTTGGCTTGGAGTTGCTCTGAATGGCATGGTTGGAAACAGCTTTTTAAAACAGAAAACTTGTGCTAGGGATACCAGTGTTCTGGTATTGCACCTACTAGCTGTGCAATATATGGGTTTCTTTAAAAAAAATGAGTATTTGTTGTTTGTGTACACTGTGTTACGGGGCTTCAGTGATGCAAGTGAAAAAGAACCTTTACATTTCAAGTATTGGATTAGATTGAGTGTCTACTTTTCATCATTTTTGAAAAATGTTTGCTTTAATCAAAACCCCACAAATATCTCATGCTGCTGCTTATTGTGATTCAGATTGTCCACCTTTGTGCTATTTTTTTTTTTGTCTACTGGAACCTAAGATACATATCATACAAGTCCATCTTCTCTCCAACTTCCAAACGGACTTCCTGCTTGAGAGATATGGATGGCTTTACCACAATAATTTGTTGATCCACAGATAGAATAATTGGTGTCATATAAGAATGAACTATAGTCTAATTTCAAAACCTTAAATTATATCAGCACCTTCTTTTTTTTTTTCTTTATCCATAAGCTAACTAATCACTGTCTGGAGGCAGTGGTGTTTGTAAATTACTGGTTTTATTTGACTCATTAGGTATATGTGAAACTAGCACAGAATTGGAAGTTACTGTAAATGTCTGAACTAGTATTGTTAGGTTTTAACTTCTATAAAGATATAAAACAATAGCTCTTTAAAAGCTTATTTTTTCACAAGTACATTCTGTGTGGAAGACACTTTGCATTGAAATATTTTTACTGTAGTGTAATATCTGAAATCACTTCTCTGGTACAGCTTTCACACTGCATGTTCATTTTACTATCTTTTGGTATTGGCAATTTTACACATTGGGTGGAGGTAAAGCAGCTCCGTTATGGGACTTACAAAAAGAGGAAAAAAAAAAAAAGAAAGAAAAAAGAAAAGAACTACTGTTGTAGTTCAGTAGCATAGGGAAATATTTGTGGTTGGTAATTGTCAGGGTCTCCTATTTATCAGTACTTTTATAAATCTATGAAAATTGTTAAATTATTTTAGGAACAGTGCTGTAAATATGTCACATTTAAATTGTCAATAAATCAGTTTGGGTAACTTAAAGTAACATCTGACTGAGTTTCCTTGCACCATGTTAAATATTTATCAGAAAAATGCATTCCATTTTAGCACATGAGAGGTCAGATTATCTCTCACCCAGCTACAATGTCTTTTTAATTCTTCAAATCTGGTCAGGTTATGTAGCCTAAGAAAGGAATTGAGCAGAATGAGCTGGTTTTGCTGTTTTCAGTTTCTTTTGTGGAATTTTTACATAATGCAAGGGAAGTTTATCAGTTTTCTTTTTTAATCAGTGGAAGGGAGGAGATGATGCATTGTAATTTCAAGTTAATCATTTGGGAACACTCAAGTACTGTCTGAAAGGGGGGGAAAAAAAGAAACAGACCCCCCCAAAAAAAAGTAACATGCCTTTTTCTGGCATTATATTATTGCATAACAAAGTTTCTCTCAGAGAAATGCTTTCCTGGAATAAAGGCACCTGTTTGGCACCTGGAAGCTCCTCCCCATCCGTACGGCAGAGAGGGATCACGCTGGAGTGACTGCATTTCTCAACTCCATTTTTCCCTTCATAAATGCTGCTGTTAATCTGTCTCAACAGTATGCGAGCTCCAGATAAAACGGTAATGGGATGAGATATTTTATATAGTTATCAAAATTCCAGTTTGACTGTGACATCTCCTGGCTGTGAATTGTTCCAGATACATACACAGCTGCAGTTACACTGGGGTCAAACGGTGCCTTCTGTTGCCCCCAGCATTTTACTCCGTAACATCTGACTTCTCCAGGAGTCACTGAGTGTCTTGAAGCTTCTGTTTTAACCTGTTTCACCCTAAACCAGGGTTGGTATGAAGTAGGTAATAGTACCTTTGGTTAGCCCATCTCCATTTAAACTAAACTTTTTCAGCTTTATCATGACAATGTGGAGTTCCAAAGGCAGCTTGATTACAGCAGTATGGAGTTGATGTTTCATTGGGGTCATCAGTATAACAAGTTCAGCACAGGAAAGATGTGGACCTGTTGGAGCAGGTCCAGAGGAGTCCATGAAGATGCTCCAAGGGCTGGAGCCCCTCTGCTGTGAGGACAAGCTGAGAGAGTTGGGGGTGTTGAGCCTGGAGAAGAAAGAGAAGGCTCCAGGGAGACGTTGGAGCCCCTTCCAGTCCCTAAAGGGGTCTTGTAAGAAAGATGGGGGCAGGTGTTTGAGCAATAGGACAAGGGGTAATGGCTTTAAACTAAAGGATGGTAGATATAAGGAAGAAATTTTTTCACTGAAAGTGGTGAGACACTGGCCCAGGTTGCCCAGAGAGGTGATCGATGCCCCATCCCTTGAAATATTCAAGGTCAGGTTGGAGAGGGCTTTGACCAGCCTCATCTAGTTGAAGATGTCCCTGCTCGTGGCAGGGGGGTGGATTAGATGACCTTTAAAGGTCTGTTCCCACCCACACCATTCCATGGTTCTAATCCCAGTTCAGCAATACAGTTTATTCTTCATAGTAATAAATGTCAGAATAAAAAGCAATTGCTAGCTGCAACTGAAACTCATTTATAAAAGCTGAAAATACCATTTCTAATTCATCTATTTTATCACATGCATCTCTGCTGTTCAGCCTTCAACTTTCTTACCTTCTAATTATTTTCCTAAAAATCTTAAGTTCTTTTTCCCAGCCCCTTGAGACCTGAGCTGTGGTCCCTGAAATGACTTCCCTGCAGTGTCTTCACTGTTGTGGGTTTTCATTTGCTGTGCACTTGCTGCTGCCCCTTTTCTGAAGAGGGAAGGTGTCTTCACTGTTTGCGGGTTTTCATTTGCCGTGTACTTGCTGCTGCCCCTTTTCTGAAGAGGGAACTGAATTTTACGGTGATAGATTTAAACCCACCCTATTGCAATAAGGAATTTGCAGAAATTGAAGTGCTAAACCTGCAATCCGTGTGCCTGAGGGTAACTGCCGAAGGGCGATGGGCCAGAATATAGTTAAAGAAACTGGTTTTTGCCTTATCCTAGTGGAATACCAGGATCTCAGCACCACCTAGAGGTCATGCTCTGGCTTGGAAAGTGATCCGAGTCAGGCGTTTACTCTTTATGTGTGTTAATGAATCTTAAAAATTAGTTTTGAAGCTGCAGTTGTGAAGTCACTGGGCTATTCAAAGTTGGTGGCTTTTTGGTTTTTTTTAGAACTCCTGCTCTTTGTAAGCTCTGAATAGCTCTGGAGGCAAATCGGTTGATGACGAAGCAAAATGTTTATTATATGAGTTTACTTCTGAGGAAGCTGTGATGTTGTAGGGGGGGAAAAAAGTGAATAATCTGTTAACTTGTCCGGTGAATAATGAAAGTGTGAGGCTTCTCGTGATGCTACTGGCTGTGGAAAGCAGTTACAGGCAATCAGTGTAGTCAAAAAAGAGTTGAAAAAGAAGAAATTGAAGAAATGACGCTTTGGGGAATCCATTTTTTTGTAGTGCAAACTGGCAAAATTCAAACCACGGCCCTAATGAAATATATCATCAAGTTCCCAACCTCCTGAAAAAAAAGTAACATGCCTTTTTCTGGCATTATATTATTGCATAACAAAGTTTCTCTCAGAGAAATGCTTTCCTGGAATAAAGGCACCTGTTTGGCACCTGGAAGCTCCTCCCCATCCGTACGGCAGAGAGGGATCACGCTGGAGTGACTGCATTTCTCAACTCCATTTTTCCCTTCATAAATGCTGCTGTTAATCTGTCTCAACAGTATGCGAGCTCCAGATAAAACGGTAATGGGATGAGATATTTTATATAGTTATCAAAATTCCAGTTTGACTGTGACATCTCCTGGCTGTGAATTGTTCCAGATACATACACAGCTGCAGTTACACTGGGGTCAAACGGTGCCTTCTGTTGCCCCCAGCATTTTACTCCGTAACATCTGACTTCTCCAGGAGTCACTGAGTGTCTTGAAGCTTCTGTTTTAACCTGTTTCACCCTAAACCAGGGTTGGTATGAAGTAGGTAATAGTACCTTTGGTTAGCCCATCTCCATTTAAACTAAACTTTTTCAGCTTTATCATGACAATGTGGAGTTCCAAAGGCAGCTTGATTACAGCAGTATGGAGTTGAAGTTTCAGTGAGGTCATCAGTAGAACAAGTTCAGCACAGGAAAGATGTGGACCTGTTGGAGCAGGTCCAGAGGAGTCCATGAAGATGCTCCAAGGGCTGGAGCCCCTCTGCTGTGAGGACAAGCTGAGAGAGTTGGGGGTGTTGAGCCTGGAGAAGAAAGAGAAGGCTCCAGGGAGACGTTGGAGCCCCTTCCAGTCCCTAAAGGGGTCTTGTAAGAAAGATGGGGGCAGGTGTTTGAGCAATAGGACAAGGGGTAATGGCTTTAAACTAAAGGATGGTAGATATAAGGAAGAAATTTTTTCACTGAAAGTGGTGAGACACTGGCCCAGGTTGCCCAGAGAGGTGATCGATGCCCCATCCCTTGAAATATTCAAGGTCAGGTTGGAGAGGGCTTTGACCAGCCTCATCTAGTTGAAGATGTCCCTGCTCGTGGCAGGGGGGTGGATTAGATGACCTTTAAAGGTCTGTTCCCACCCACACCATTCCATGGTTCTAATCCCAGTTCAGCAATACAGTTTATTCTTCATAGTAATAAATGTCAGAATAAAAAGCAATTGCTAGCTGCAACTGAAACTCATTTATAAAAGCTGAAAATACCATTTCTAATTCATCTATTTTATCACATGCATCTCTGCTGTTCAGCCTTCAACTTTCTTACCTTCTAATTATTTTCCTAAAAATCTTAAGTTCTTTTTCCCAGCCCCTTGAGACCTGAGCTGTGGTCCCTGAAATGACTTCCCTGCAGTGTCTTCACTGTTGTGGGTTTTCATTTGCTGTGCACTTGCTGCTGCCCCTTTTCTGAAGAGGGAACTGAATTTTACGGTGATAGATTTAAACCCACCCTATTGCAATAAGGAATTTGCAGAAATTGAAGTGCTAAACCTGCAATCCGTGTGCCTGAAGGTAACTGCCGAAGGGCCATGGGCCAGAATATAGTTAAAGAAACTGGATTTTTCCTTATCCTCGTGGAATAACAGGATCTCAGCACCACCTAGAGGTCATGCTCTGGCTTGGAAAGTGATCCGAGTCAGGCGTTTACTCTTTAAGTGTGTTTATGAATCTTAAAAACTAATTTTGAAGCTGCAGTTATGAAGTCACTGGGCTATTCAAAGTTGGTGGCTTTTTGGTTTTTTTTAGAACTCCTGCTCTTTGTAAGCTCTGAATAGCTCTGGAGGCAAATTGGTTGATGACGAAGCAAAATGTTTATTATATGAGTTTACTTCTGAGGAAGCTGTGATGTTGTAGGGGGGGAAAAAAGTGAATAATCTGTTAACTTGTCCGGTGAATAATGAAAGTGTGAGGCTTCTCGTGATGCTACTGGCTGTGGAAAGCAGTTAAGGGGAAAAAGTGAATAGTCTGTTAACTTGTCCAGAAGCATGAGGCTTTTCGTGATGCTACTGGCTGTGGAAAGCAGTTACAGGCAATCAGTGTAGTCAAAAAAGAGTTGAAAAAGAAGAAATTGAAGAAATGACGCTTTGGGGAATCCATTTTTTTGTAGTGCAAACTGGCAAAATTCAAACCACGGCCCTAATGAAATATATCATCAAGTTCCCAACCTCCTGCCCTGGGCAGGGACAAAATGCCCAGATTAGTAGAAAATGCTGATATTCAAAGGTTAGTTTTTTAGGCTTTATAGGAAGTCTACATTTTAATGGGTGGAGAAATTAGTGAGCACATCAAAAAGGTGCACTCTGAAGGTACGGGACAAAAATATTGCTGTTCTTATAAAGATTCTGTATTAATTTGAGGTGAGAGAGAGGGGAGAAATTAAGAGGAGGATATAAGGACGGGGCATTTTTAGTCTAAAAGTTAAAATTAAATTTAAAAATAAAGCCCTCTGCGCTATGTACAGTTTGACCTTTTGTCAGTTTCGTTTGAAATCTTAATATTCATCTGTATTTTGGAGCACAACCTGTATGACTATTTGATGCCCTAAGCCAGTCAGCTGCTGAAACAGATCTT